ACTGCGGCGGCCCGGGTTCGAGCCCGGGTCTGCTCAAGTGGGATTTGTGGTGGACAAAGTGGCGTGGCACTGGGGCGGGTTTTCTGCGAGTACTTCGGTTCCCCTGCCAATCTTAATTTCACCAAATTCTCCATCATCATAATCACCCGGGGCAGGCTACAGTAGGCCAATCAGTGGCGGCAGTGCCGAGTGGACCCAGTTGGACTCCCCCCCCCCACTAAGCGAATAAAAAAAGAAAAAAATGAGATACCCAACACTCATCACAGAAATATCTGTTCGCCTCTTATTCTCTTCTCTTAGTACCCACGTCTCACTAACATTTCATCACTTATTTTCATATGCATTTCTCTTTCGTTTATTTTAATTACGCATTTTTGAATCTGTCAAAAAAAGGCAAACATTCTGCAAGAAACGCAGTGATTGCTTCAATTACGAAACAAAACCATGACTGTAATAAACTTCTGGTACAATGCAATACGTTCATGGAGTCGTAGTGAAAGCCAATCCGTACACTGTGCGTTAAAGCGGTAAACCTCCATTTCACGTCTGTATTCACGAGGGCAGCAATTCGTTCATAAGGGTTGAAACCGGTCTAACAATTTAAGGGCTGATGCTATTAATATAATTAAACTGTTTTAGTTTCGATAAGTGTACGCACACTGCATGTCCATACATATTATAACAGATTTGATCAACGCGTTGCCAGACAACAGCTCTGTAAACGCGGTCCAACATGCAACAGTAGATGAGGCCATGTTTTCTAAGTAGTCCGCGCCAAGCAGCGGTGGAACAACGGGGTTTATGTAACCCTTTTCTAAGGGCTCGCTAACATACTTCCGCTTAAGAGGGGAAGTCAGCAACAACGGAGACGGTGTTTTCCGTGAGATCTGTGCAGTGCGCTTATAAGAGAAGAGAAAGCAGTGACAGAATTAGTTCAAGGGCAGTTATGAGTCTGTCGTAGGATGAAGGAGTGAGTCCAGAGGAATGTTTAGTTCTGAGGTCCGAGAGTGACTGAAGGCGAAGTAGCAAGAAGACTTCAGAGTGATTTGAAGTGCTAGTTTCTGTGTTCAGATCCGTTGCTAGGAGACGACTTAAGAAGACTGAGAATCCTAGTGCGTGTGCAACGTTCAACTGGAAAGTGGTAAATCAGCGACAGCACTGTATTTAAGGAGATTAAGAGAACCTGTAAGCAAGATGCTAATACAGTGGAACCTCGCTTAACGAGCACCTCTCATAACGAGTAATTCGCATAACGAGCAAAACAAAATAAAAAGATGACTCGCTTAAGGAGCGACGTTTCGCATAACGAGCGTCGAGAGGGGAAGTCCCGGATTGTGCGCTTGCTACATCAGTCTGTTTAGCACTGGTTCCGCTAGAATCTTAGTGTCGCTTGTGATCACACATTTTTCCAAACTTGTGTTCAGACATATTATTTGTGATTTTCTTTTGTGCAAAGTTTAATAACCCTTGCAAAAATGTCCCCGAAGAAAAAGCCGCAAAAAGACAGCCATAAGAGAATAAAAATAACCGTAGAAATGGAACGTAAAATCATTGAAAAGCGAGAACGAGGTGTGAGCATGACTGATCTAGCACGCACATACAGTCGGTCTACATCAACGATTTGCACGATTTGGAGTTGCATTGTGTTTCACAGCAAGAAGTTGTGGAGGAGAGTTTGTCAGAGGAGGAGGAGGAGGAGGTAACAGCAAAGCAACAATCTTCTGGCGCAATAAGAGAAATGCTGAAAGCATGGGAAACTGTTGCATCGTACATTGAGAAGCATCACCCTAATAAGGCAGTGGCTATGCGCGCCACAAATTTATATAATGATAATGTTGTGTCGCATTTTCACCAAATTTTTAAGCGTCGGCAAAAACAAATGTCTCCAGACAGCTTTCTAGTACAAAACAATTAGATACTCGTATGTATAATAAATAATAAACGAATTATTTAGATTTTCTTTTGTTTTCTGCAAATCGAATTCGCATTCCAGGTTGGTTCATTCCGCATAGAAGAAAAGATGATGATCATTCACGCTCCTTAACATTGCATATATAATTTTCTTTGAATAAACGTTATACATAAAATTTTGTGAGTATTTTTTTCGGCATGGAACGCATTATCGTATTTTACATTAATTTATATGAGAAAAATTGTTTCGCTTAACGAGTGTTTCGCATTACGAGCAAGATTCTGGAACGAATTATGCTCGTTATGAGAGGTTCCTCTGTAAATCCAATCATCCGAACTAGAACCCGTTATTTTCGTCACGCGTACCACCCCACACGTGACAATATGATTTCACTGAACCACTTATAAAGCGAACGGCTAGTGGAAGGAGAAGATGCTACAAAGGAACTTCTAAGTCAGTCAAACTGTCCAACCCGTTGCGCCATGAAGTAAAATAAAAGAAACGCTACACACCCGACTATGGCATGGTAATTAACTTACAGGTATCACTACATAGCCGCATTTTCCTAGAATATTTAAGATCTTAAGGTAAAAGTATAGCAATTAAACACTACGCCATGAATACGTATGGGGAAGTGGAGGTATGGTTCCACCATTCTTCACCTCGGCAATAGTTGGAGGTGAGTTGTCAGCTTCTCTCCCCGGTCGCTTTATCACCGGGGAAAGTGCCATCGGTACCCATTGGATAGGAGGCTGAGCGGGCCCAAGAGCCGGTCTGGACGCTTTTGAGTACAGAAAAACCTCTTGTTAATTTGTAAAAAGTCACACAGTATCCTGAGTTCGATACCGGTTCTTGAAAGTTAGTGTTTCGGATGATATTCGTGCATAATGCCACGACGCTGTTTCAACTGCAAAAGTTATATCCAAGAGATAAAATGATCATGAGTGGTCAATTAGTAAGGTGTTGGAAAACGAAACTGTGATAACCTATATCCAGATTCCATTCCACCATTTCTACAGTGGACGGACGCCAAGGAACACCTCATGTCAGGACAGTTGAAGCCCCATTGCACTTCAAAGCTGATACAACCTGAAACTGGGAACAGGGTATTACAGCAACACAAAGCTCCTCGGCGTTCTTTTCGGAAACATGCGGAATATATATATATCGAAATTTCAAGATATTGTCACGTATCCCAGTTACGTAGTTAGTTGAGGCACTATGCTACAAGCCGAAAGGTCGCGGGGTTCAAGTCCCGATGAGGTCATTGGATATTTTTCAATTGACTTAATCCTTCCAGCCGCACTATGGCTCTGGAGTCGACTCAGCCTCTAACAGAAATGAGTACCAGGAATTAATTAAATAATTTTTCTGGGGAGTAAAGCGCGGCCGGCGCGTAAGGCTGACAACCTTTCTGCCATATTTGAGCCGATTGTCTAGATAATGTGGGACCCTCAACGTCTCACAACCCTATGGACCTTCACGGCCTGGTACAGGGATAGCTTTACTTTTTTTTTTAATCCCAGTTACGTGGCTAATAATTAATGGGGTCTGGATTAGATTAACCGATTTATTGGACAGTCACCTGTAGTAACTACAAATAATTATAATTATAACATAAAGTCTTTAGCACTTTAACTCTTAAATGTTCCTGGAACGAATTCTAAGTCTGTGCGAAGCCAGGTCCAATTCCTTAATTCCCTAAGTCCGTAATTAAGTGATTCCGTAACTCGGCAATCCCGTAATTAATTAATTCGTCTGGCAAACTCTCCTGTTATAATGTTTCGGCGAACCGTGCAGAAGTCACCTCTTTCAACAGTACAGTAACTGTGTTCTTAGCCGTTACTCTGCTTTGAGAGGTTCATTGCCGTGGACATAGGCTTCTAATCAGTTAAAGGTACAGTGCATGTATCAAAACCCTAATAACCGAAGTTCTATAGTTTCGTTACCTAGGAAACGTTTACCGAGCCGTTGCCTAGCTATACTATTACAGCACAATACGAGTATTTTCGGCCAGTCCAGGCCTATAGGCCTAATGCACAGAACTTGACATGGAATAGCAGCATAAGCAGCCTGTAGTCTTCTGGGATCTGACACCATGTAGTCTTGTTGGTGGGTATGGATGTTACGGAGGAATACGCTGCCTCCATCTTCAGGATGGAAGTGTGTGCGGTGAGGAACTGTTTCAGTTATACACGCAGACTGCGATAAAAACGGGCAGTTACCCTAAATATTTCAGTCCTCAAGGTTGAAATATTATGTTCCGTCGACACGCCTACAAAACTACACGGTGTCACAACCCAGATGCCCATAATCTGAGCAATCACCACCGTGAAAACCTGAAAACACAACTTTTATCGGATTACGTGTATGACAGCATTGGCTTCACGTCCCGTAAGACCGTATCTTAATGCTATATCTATTTTTTATTGCTAGTGGGGTGGGACTAAGCCCCTTGTACTGCGGCCACTTCTGGCCTATTGTACCAGCCCCAGATGATAGGTGAGGGTGATTGTGGAGCAATTGGTGGAATGAAGATTGGCAGGGGAAATCGAAGTACTCGGAGAAAACCTGCCCCAGCGTCACTTTGTCCACCACAATTCCCACTGGACCAGACCCGGGATCGAACCCGGGCCGCCGCGGTGGGAAGCCAGCGACTAATCGCTTGAGCTATGGCGCGGCCCAACTAAGTAACTAACTACATGCAGCTGCGTCCTTGAGAAGCCGCCAGCCGTGCAGATACTAAACAATTTCCCCCTATTTTCTGGAACACGAAGCTTTATTACCGTGTTCACTGGAGCCAGTTACTGGTGCCTATCCTGAGCCAGATGAATCCAGTCTACACCACCCCATTCTACTTTCCTTAGGCCAATTTTAATATTATCCTTACACCTACTTCTAGGTCTTCCTAGTTGTCTCTTTCTCTCTGGCTTTCCCGATAAAATGCTACATGCATTCCTTTCTCCCCATGCGTGCTACCATTCCCTGCCAAGCTCATCCCATTTGACCATTCTAATTATATCTGTTGAAGAGTAAGAATCTTAATGCTATATAATAAATAAGGTAATATATTACAACGTGTAATTACCTGGTACGCTTGGTAAGTTCCAAAATGGCCACCGGTAACCAAACACTCGCATAGCTCCCCAACCAAACCCCATCCAGTGCCCAAAGTTCGAATCCGGCCGGTGTCAAATGTCTATATCGCTCTCTCAGAATTGCAACGGGATGGCACCACCATAACACCCACACAAGTCACAGATCAATAACATAGAATCACAGGAGCAGAGACCACACGCACACGACATCTCGGATGAAGGGTAAACTGACGTTAATAAACAATACACTAACCTCATTACATCCCTGCTCCGAATGAGATTTAAAAACCCGGGCTGATAACTCTATCTGAAAAGTACTGTCTTATATAAAACATGTTCAGAAGTGTTACAATCCATGAGTAATCTTCAGGAAAACGTCAACTAGTCTTGTTTATATTTTTTACATTGAATACCGCAATTATCCTTCGCACAGACGTCAGTGTACCTTCAAACAAAGAATCCTCTTCTAGTACAAAAACCTGCGATGCCTGTCCCAAGAAATGTCGGGGAAATCAATCAAAGTACTAGGAAGACTTCGCTCTTCTAACTTTGCGACGTGCTAAGAGCTCACAGTGGCTCTTTCAAGCACACAGAACCAACTAACTGGCTACAGACGATTACAGCAGCCGTTAGAGACGTCAAACACACCAGACCTTGTTGTATGACGTCACTGAAGTCTCGTACTGACACTGCAATTCATGATGTCATAACTTATACTGTACATTAAACAGGTTCACAGCGGGTATGATTATTTCATGTGCTCAGCAAGGTCAATTACAGGTAGTGGAATGGTGTAGGGGAGGGAAGCTGATTCTTGGAAGTGACTGGGGGTTCTTAAGAACTGAAATCCCCGAGGGTATCTCCTGGATCAATTAGAAAAAGAAGTGACTGGGACTGGCTCGTTATAACGGGCCCAACTGAGTGGATGCCTCCCCAGATTTCTCTCACCTGAGGATGGAAACTGATCCAGTTTTCGAAAAATTGTATTCCTTCATAATATTAAACGATGGGCAGAGTCCAGAACCAAGATAATCCCATGCTAAATGTTATTAATGAAACAGTGATCCTGCAAATTAATCCAGCCGTAGCACTGCATTCGAGGGGCGCACGGTTCTAATCTCGGTCGGGTAACGACTATTAAAATCTGTCTTATTCTCCTCAGTCTCTCCAGATTAGTATCGGTCATGATGGCCTTCTCCTTAGAGATACTTACAACTCTTTCCATCTCATTCGCCATTGTAACAAGGATTTGTAAACTTTCTTTTTCGTTTCAAACAAGCACGCCGCTAAATTATCGTTTGTGGACGGCCAATTCTACGAAGACATGGTGCTGTGTGGTGTCGACAAGAGACCCAGCAGCCAAACTGGTGTACCACATTACAACCAGTGATACGACATAAAGGCCCATACATATGCCGCGCCATAGCTCAAGCGGTTAGTCCCTGGCTTCCCACCGAGGCAGATGTGAAGCTGACCACCCACTTCCAGCTAGCGCGGAGGTCAAGAAAAATGTGGCTCTGTACATCCATTACCCCATACGCCTTCATGGCATAGTGCTCAATTAGTTAAGCACAGGGACAACTTTACCTTTACTTTCACTTCTACGAGTACTACCTATCTATGGCTCTACAGCCCTCTGTTCGATCTTGGCCGATTTTTCAGTTTCTTGATCTGTTTTACGCAGTCAATAGGACGCCTTGGACGGGGGATCAGACCGTCGCAAAGCCGCTACCTACACACAGAACGGCATAAACACAGAATAAGGGCACAGAGACATCCATGTTTCAAGTGGGATTCGAACCAACGATCCAAGTATCTGAACGGGCTAAAACAGTTCATCTCATAGACCGTGCAGCCACTGTGATCGGCAGTAAGTACTTCACTGTTAATAAATTCTTAACGCGATGGTTGGGCTTGATGAAGGATACCAGTTTCCAAATGTCTGGTCTAAAGTCACTTCAATCCTAATTAAGTGAAAAAAAGAGTTCGGAGGAGCGCCTTGTTTCAGGACGATTTCGATTCTAAATCATTTTGGAGAAATTAATTTTTGTAAGATTTGAGGCTTTCACGGCGGTGACTATGAAGAAAGCAGTTTTCTGGGATTTGGCACCGTGTATATGTGGTGTTAACCGACGTTTCGGAGGAACGTATCGCCTCCATCTTCAGGGTAGAAGAAAAAATATAAGAAATCTGCAAGCGAAGAGACCGTGAGAACCGGTAAATGCAGACTGTGTTGGAAATATACCCAGCTATGCGTATATTTTTTTCTTCTACCCTGAAGATGGAGGTGATACGTTCCTCCGAAACGTCGGTTAACACCACATATACACGGTGCCAAATCCCAGAAAACTGCTTTCTTCAAATTAATTTTTGTTAACTATGTTAGTCCTAAATATTAAATTTGTTGTCTAAATGAATTCTGCATCAAATCAGACAATACGCGACCCACTTAAGAATTTACACATTTCACTATTCAGAAAGAAGATTCAAATAACTGTTGCACTAATGAGGCGAAAGATTTGTTTACGTTCATTATCTTCATATATCGTAGGACTACTGATTTTCGTTCATGTTGAAACTGAAACAGGAAACGTAATTACGGGCATGCGCAGCTTAACTTATTCTGGACCATCGCGGTATCGTACAATTTACATGGGTATAATGACTGATCATTAGATTCATTAATGAAGCTTTGAAGAGGGAGGAAGTAAGAGGAGTCTGAAGAATGAGGAACTTCCTAATTTGTGCTCTTCGCCAAATATTATTAGGACGATCACGTCAGGGAGTTGAAGATGGCCAGGACATATGCTAGAACTGACGGTACACAACATTTTCGTAAGAAAGCCTGAATGAACGAGACCACATGCAAAACCTGGAGGTAGATGGGAAGATATTAAAATATTCTTAAAGAAATTCGATGGGAGAGCGTGGATTGATTAATCTGGATCAAGATAGGGACTAGTGGCGGACTCTTGTGAACAAGGTAAAGAGCTTTCGGGTTACGTATATATAATTTTAACCATCTGAGCATCTATCAGCTACTCAAGACGGACTCTGCGCTTTGAAATTAGTGAAGCCTTCTCAATAACGGGGGTACGCGGTAACGTAGTGGTTAAGGTACTATGCTACAAGCCGGAAGGTCGCGGGTTCAAGTCCCGATGAGGTCATTGGATTTTTTTCAATTGACCTAATCCTTCCGACCGCTCTATGGCCCTGGGGTTTACTCAGCCCTAACAGAAATGAGTACCAGGAATTAATTAAATAATTTTCCTGTGGAGTAAAGCGCGGCCGGCGCGTAAGGCTGACAACCTTACCGCCATCTTTGAGCCGATTGTCTAGATAATGTGGGACCCTCAACGTCCCACAACTATGGGTCTTCACGGCCTGCTACAGGGAGAGCTTTACTTTTTACTTTTTTTAATGTCTCAATAACATGCGTAATATCAAGGGATGCTATCATGATACATTTTAAAGCACTATCACAGTTTACCCGGATGTTTAATTAAAAACACGGGGAAATCAGATTTACGGGTCTCCGCTCTGAGATTTGAACCGAACACCTCATGTGCAAAGGTAAAGATGTCCCTGTGCTTAACTAATTACGCACTACACCATGAAGGCGTATGAGGGAGTAGATTTATAGATCCACATTTTCTTCACCTCGGCACTAGTTCGAGGTGAGTGGACAGCTTTATCCCCAGGGAAAGAGCTGCCGGTATCCATTTGATAGGAGGTTGTGTGGACCCCAGAGCCGGTCTGGACGACGTGGAGAAGAGAAAATTCTTGACCTTACTAGGACTCGAACCCCGACCCCTCCATCGTCCAGCCCGTAGCCAGTCGCTATACTGACAACGCTGTCCCGGCTCTGAACGCACCAGTGCCAGTGTATAAGTTCCGCGTGTCTGATAGCAGCGGCCTACTCCACGTAATCATCACACAGGAACATGACAGTTTCCTACTCTTCTTCCTGTACAGCAAGATAATCACTGCTACCTCATACCTCTCGTTTACAGGCTTTCGGAATCTTATTTATAGACATTTAATATGATTCACTGGACGGAGGATTGCAAGTCCTGGTCGCTTTAACCCCCGGAGAAAGAGCCCCCGGGACCCACTGGATAGGAGGTTGGTTGCACCCCAGAACCGGTCTGGACGACGTGGAGAAGAGAAAATTCTCGACCCTACCGGGACTCGTCCATCCTCTAGCCAGTCGCTATACCGATTGAGCCATTGCAGCTCCTCATGTGTAAGGTGTAGTAACACTAATGACTAAATCCGCTGTGTTTAAGGAATATAGCTTGTATTACTATTTCACTAAAACTCTGGATATTTCAGTTATTGGAATGCAACAAAGTCTAATGAGCAGTTCTGGGCTTTACATAAACCACCGGTGCAGGATATAAAACCTTTCCACAGAATGAATGTCACAGTTTGCTTTTCTGTACAACGCAGTTTCGCTTTGCCTTCTCGAATATAGCAAACTTGTTCGTGATAGCATTACAACAACGCTGAAAAAACTGCAAAATGTGCTATATGAAGATTCTAGAATATACCGTATTTACGCATGTATAGGCCGCAGCACAATTTTCAGACAGAAATTATAGAAAAAATAATTTTCTTGGAATATTATTTCAGGAGTATTACACCCTGTATTACTAATTATGAATATAATTTTTTTTAAATGAAATGTGATTTCGAATATTTCGAATATAAGCCGCACCCCAGTTTTCCTCTTGAATTTTTGGCAAAAAATGTGCGGCCTATACATGCGTAAATACGGTATTACGCTATGCAACTTTCTAATAGAACTGTACAAGAAATGAAGACGCTTGAGAATGTATCCTATATGCAAGGGCAAGGAGAAATCTTATAGCTCACTTAATTAATTAATTAATTAATTAATTAATTAATTAATTAATTAATTAATTAATTAATTAATTAATTAATTAATACATTTTGCTGGAATATGAAGAAAAATATATTAGAACTGCTTCTAAGAAATAACGGAGAAAAGTTAAAACTTATGGAATTGTCATGAAATCACCACAAACTTCTAAATTTTAAAATCTTATGTCCAAAATGGCTTCTGTATGGGTGTGAAACTTGGTCTCTGACATTAAGGGAGGAACTGAGGGTTTTGAAAACAGGGTGTTCAGGAGAATATTTGGACCGAAGAGAGATGAAGTCATAGGAGGTTGGAGAAAACTGCATAATGAGGAGCTTCATAACTTGTACTCTTCTCCAAGTATAATTAGAATGATCAAGTCAAGGAGGATGAGGTGGGCAGGTCATGTAGCACGAATGAGGGAGACGAGGAATGCGTATAGGATATTGGTGGGAAAGCCAGAAGGAAAGAGACCACAGGGAAGACCAAGGCGTAGGTGGGTGGACAATATTAGAATGAATCTTAGAGAGAGAGGATGGGATGGATTGGATAGATCTGGCTTAGGTTAGGGACCAGTGAAGGGCTCTTGTGAACACGGTGATGAACTTCGAGTTCCATAAAATGCTGGGAAATTCTTGAGTTGCTGCAGAATTGGCGGTTCCTCAAGAAGGGCTCAGCTGCATGAGTAAGTAAGTAATGTCAAAAATGGCACGATACTATTGTATTGTCACG